CCATCGAAGAAAAGTATGGAGGGGATCGCTCGCGTCATGAACCCCTTTATTGGACTTCTCTTTTCTTGCTTGGGCTTCCTCAAGCATGGACTCGGTGTAGGAGGGTGTCTCCATAATGTCTACTACACCAGGCGCTTTCTTCGGAGGAGAGTCGGTGTCCCAGGGGGTTCCACCCCCCGTTTCCATATCGGCCTCTCGAGTCTGAGAGAGGTCGGTCTCACGAATCTCCCCATTGGCTTCCTCCTGCTCCTCGGGAGGGGTCGATCCGTGGGCGATAAAAATATCGTCTTCTTCCGACTCATCCCTGAGCAAGAGAAGCGAGTCAGAATCTGGCACCCGGGAGCTGGTACTCTTCTTGGGCTTGCGAGCCACCCTCTTCTTTGGCTTCACCTCGGGACCCGGGGAGCCCGAAGGTTTTCTTTTCCTCTTCTTCTTTTCCCCTGCGGCAGCCCTGAGCTGTCTCGTAACGAAGGGATCAACGGACAAGGATACGTCCTCGTCCCCTTCGAAAGGCCTAAGCTCGGTGGTCTTAGGCAAACCTATACAAACAACAACAACAACAACCTAGTATAATCCCACTAGTGGAGTCTAGGGAGGGTAGTGTGTACGCAGACCTTACCCCTACCATGAGGTAGAGAGGCCGTTTCCAATAGACCCTCGTCATCCTTCCCTCCAAGAACTCCCCACCATGCTCTTGGGGTGACTCGAACTCACAACCTCTTGGTTGGAAGTGGAGGTTGCTTACCATCATAGCAACCCCTCTTGTCAAAACCTATAATAGCAACCCCTCTTTTTTAGGCAAACCTATAAAAGAAAGGAAAAAGGCCAGTATGATGTGAGTTAAGAACACGGTAATAGCTATTTGAAGGAGAACCTTACCATGAGAACGGTCCTCCCATCGGTCCTTCGAAAGCTTGCGCCATAAGCACTAGAAGTATGACATCCGTTTGTAGATACTACTACTGGTTTGGTTATTTATTGTATCTTTCATTTGCTTATCTAACATTATTGATCACTTGTATTGGATTAATCCACATATCCTTAAAATCACGTATAAATTCAATTGTTATCAATTTTAAGGGTAAACATAATTATCAACCGTTACTTTTTTCTTTTTTAGTCTTTCCAATATCTTGATGTTTTTAAAATTTTAAATTTATTCTATTGGTAGATAGTTACTAAACAATATGGTGAATATTTCAAATGAATTTGATAGATTCACCACTTTTAAATTCTAAAACTAGAAGTTAAAATTAATATTCTAAAGTAACTACCTCATCTGCTCCAGCAAATTTATATGATATTCTTTCTATTTGGGATATTCCAAAATATTTGATGTATACGTTTTCATTTCTATACAACTTAAACACATAATGGATTAAGGCATTAATCTATTAATATTTTAATTTTAAAGCAATCTTTCTCTATCAAACTAAGTTTAACCATTATAATATGGGCGTCCATTGTCACTAGAGTACATACAAGTAAAACTAACATTTTGATCCCTATCTAGTCAAATATATATCAGATGAAATAGGACAAATGAGAACTTGACTGAGTGGTGATAAAACCATATGTGGTTAGTTAAATACATTGCATTGAGACATTATATAGTGTATATAAATTAAATATTATTTTTATATCTACATATCAAATTTCGAATATTCTTGAATATCTTTAAGGAAATTTACGACTTTGCCATTGAAAATGAGTACTGCTCTTCGGAGATTGATCCATCTCAGTAGAGAAAACGGCTATTCTAGATTGCCATCAATTCTCAAGACTTGCTAGCTATTGGACATGGATTATTTGTGTTTAACGTCCCCTTAATCTAGCCATGTTCTTTCTTCTTCTTCTTCTCTGTTTTTTCCTTTTTCCTTCTTTGTCGTTTTTGAGAAAGAATTATTTTATGTAGAATTGATGAAGTGCACCTTACTGATGGAGAAGAGTTATAATACGCACAACTCATCAGTAGTGTTATGACCGATGACTTTGTGTACGTCAATTAGGATACAAATTGAACCGGAAAATCGCACAAAACCAATTAAAAAACTCAATATAAATATATAAATATATAATTTTTATATATAATTTTAAGATTTTATATTGGATTTTGTTTAAAAAATATATAGAAATATTTGGGATTCTCTTGCGAGATATAATATTTAATAGTATATGAAGTGCTACATATTTATTAACCTTAAATAATAGATTGTACGATATTTTCTTATCAAATGTTACTGAAATGCATCAATCTCTTTATTCTTTCCATATTCATGTCACATGTTAAGAACTATTAACCTTGAAAATGTACATCAACAAAATCTTATGTGTCACTAAGAAAATTCTCCAACAAGAATATTTTAATAGATAATATGTTCATCATTTTTTTATATTTTTATTAAACATATATTTACTAATTAAAATAATATTTAACTAACAAAAAACCTAATAAAATCGAACCAATCCAAACCGATATTCATTTTCTGACGCGCTTACCTCTGTTGCTCCCCTTAGGATTTTCTTCAAAAAATTTCATTCATATACATTCACATGTTCGATGCTTTGCCCTAGTAATCAGAACAAACTTTCTACTCTCTATCTCTTTCTAATATCACCTTTTTCAAATTTTAACGCATTTTCTGTTTCTGGAAAGCTATAAATGAAGAACTTTGGAAGTGAGAAAACAGAAATAAGAATTAGAACTTTGAAGGTTGTTTCTTCTTTGTATTACTTGTTTGAACTAAGTGTTTTTTTGAAGAAAAAATGGAAAAATTGAATTTTTTGAGATTTCACAGATTGCGACAGTGTATTTCTATTTAAATTAGGGGCATATTTGTTTCATAGTATAACTGGAAGGTCCCAATTAAAAGGATAGTAAAAGGAAGAACATATTTAAACTATTTTTAATAGTAAATATATTGGACAATATTCCATATAAAGTGTTACCATAATGGTTTTGATTTGAACGTTCAAATTTGGACCTAAGAAAAATAAAAAAATTAAAAAACAAAAGAAAAGACAAAAACGCTCCGACCTGCCGGATTCGAACCAGCGACCTAAGGATTTCAGCAAAGACACTACAGTCCTCCGCTCTACCAACTGAGCTAAGGTCGGAATGTGTTGTTAATGATAAGAAATAAATGGAATATGTCAGTGAACCATCTAAAAACATGATGTTTCTGCATATGAAAACAACTTACGTCTGAACTTTTTAACATGTCAAGATCAATTTGTTGACTCAATCTCAACCATTCAAATTTTTAATTCAATCCCAACCGCCTCCAACCATTTTAACACTTGGAGGGAGCTATGTTACACATTAATATTGGAGGGAAAAGATGCAGAATAAATTAAACGAAAAGATTTGCTCTCTGGAAGAGACAATGGAGTTGTCCTCTTCAGTTCAGATCGTGGATGGAAGCTAAAATGGCCATGACAATGATTTTCCGATTTATACGAATCAAATTACTCATGTTATCCGTAAGATATGATTTTATCTCTTTCACATAAACAACGTGGTCTGTCACTTCATGAACAATACCTGTATATCAACATGGTAACAAAATCTTTATCCATCTTTTAAAGCTTCAATCTAATAAGAAGCTTCAAGTTCAGTTAAAAATACTTGTTTAGCCAAAACAAAAACTGGATAGCATAAATAGCAAAGAATTGGTCTTTCACCTTTTTAGATGGTGATATTTACAAGGGATGAACCTCCAAGAATAACATATTATCGAAATACTGATAATAAAACTTGCTCCAAGATTAGCCTACAAAGTAGTTAAAAAGATTTGACTTCTGATTAACCTACCATACTAGGATCCGATAACGCATTCACAATTCTAAACCACTTAAAAGACATTTCAAATATCCTAAAGCCATGATTTAGAGCTTAAAAACGAAGGAGATAAAAATGTAGGGCAGAATCCGTGCATTAAAACACGATGAATAGACGTGCAAAACCTTGAGGAGGCTGCCCAAAATATACATATCGGCCGGGTGAAATTGAGCTCCCACACATTTTTATTATTACGCGAGAACCCATTGGATCGGCCATATATAAAATCTGACAAATCACTAAAGCAGAAATTAAACATGAGAGAAATAAACATAAAGAGAAAATGTGAGAACTTTCTACGGATGCAAACGATGAAATTCATCAATTGCAGAGACGAAGAAATGACTCGAGATCATTATATGCCCGCAACGGAACTAGAGCGCCATTGTTTCATAAGCTCGCTCTGTTCTCTCAAAGGCAATGTTTGTAAACCCTAGCTTCCAAAGTGATCTTATAGAGTCATTTCTGGCAGACCCAGCCTTATCATTTGGGCTTTTACATGTTGGGCCTTATATTTCTCCCCGTAAATAACGGGTTGCTATTGAAGAATTACTCCAATATGTGCTCAATTTTAGTTTTTTAATTTAATTTTTTGAAGACACAAATATCCTAAATTGTCCTGAAATTAAGATTTTTAGTTTTTATTTTCAGGACAAAATAAGTACTCCACTGACTAATTCTTAAATAGCAGGCCTAAGAATGGTTATTTGCACACTTCCTCCAATTCCAATCCCCACTGTGTATATGCACAACTGGTCATTTTTTGGACCCTCATATTTAAAGAATAGCCGAAATATACAAAAAAAAATTAAAATTCAGTCACCTTAGAGTTTTCAAACTCGGGTATCAAGTTTCAACTACTTTTCAAACACTTGCTATATTACAATTAGCAGTCGTCTCTGATATTATTTTTATTTACTTCTATTTGGTTAGTCCTATAGTCTTTTAGAACTCTTACTTGTCCTATAGTTATTTTTTCAAAGAGGTCATCTTTCGAAATAATTAGTATACTTGTTAATACTAGTATATAATATTTAAAGTAATCTATTCATATACTTTAAATTACTATATAATATTTAAAGAAGATATATTTAGAAAACTTTAGATTATTTACATGAATATTTCTTTTAATCTAGAAGTTTCTAGAGGGGCGCACACATTATGAACTAGACAATCTTCTGTTATTGGAATTGAAGCATCCTGAACAAAATGAATTAGCAATCATTATTCAAATTAAATCTTCACAGAAGAAGACAATAATCAAAGGACTTGCTTCAATTGTATATCTTCGATACATTGCATTGTTTTTATTTGTCATAATGAGCCAAAGCCCTCTGGTGGCCATACCTGTATATATAAAAAAAAAATAGCAAATTAGTTCTGCTTACCAGATATTTAAATGTTTACTAAATACATATATCGTCTGATTTTAACACCCCCAATATTGTGCATTAATGCCCAAGTACCGATATGAATATTTGATGGGAGTAGATGAATTAGCACGAAGAAGTTATCTAATTAAAGGCAAGTAACCATCATTTAATAAAATCAAAAGACTTCAAAGTAGACGATGGTTATGATAAGAATACGGCAGCTCTTATCTTGCAATGCTTGGGATGTAAAGACAGATAAACTGCAATTGCATTTGCATATGAACTTGGGGAATATAAAGAGTACATCAGAAAAGGTTAAGGGTTCATGAATATGGCCGTGAAACTAAGGGAGCTAACAACAATTTATCCGAATGACTTTATAAACAGCATAACTAGAAACTGACCAAATCGAAAAGCTCATTCAAACCTTTCAAAAAAAGTAGCAGTCACCAATTTCCAGGCCAAGTAATCAGTCCTGGTTGATTCTTCTTAGGAATAACATTTGTACATTTTAGTTTTTGAAACCTTTTGTTATACCTTTTGCATTCATAGTTTTTCCCCCACAAAAACAATAAACTATTACTTCATCGGAAAAGAATTGCAAGCTTTAGAACCTTTATAAATAGAACTATACAGAAGTTATAACTTCAGCCTCGCTTAGATAGTAAAGGTAATGAAACTTACTCTACACAACACTTTTCCCAGGATGAGACCATAAGGGATTGGCCCGAGTTGCCGCGAATCCTTGGAAGCATAAATATTATCTCCCTGAATCCAAACATGCCCCTTTGGAACCTAGATACCCCCCGCATCCAAGACAAATGGAAAGAAGGGAAAAAACTATTAGACTATATAAGGCATCACAAGTAGAACTATTATGGAACGAGAAAACAAGATATCACCTCATTCACACAGTAAGCATAGGAATATCACCTCAAGCAAGAATCCAAGCCAGTTTCAAATTGTTATTCTAATAAGAGGAGTCTGTAACTAAAATGATGCAACCTAGTAATATTCAGATTAGTGACAACCCCTTTTCGCGATTTAATTAGTTTTTTGCATTATTTTGCTTCAGGACTCCGTGAACTAGGGGCTATATATCTCAGTTTTAACTGCGATAATCTTATAAATGTTCGGTTTAGTTTTGGCAGCTCATTTTCATGATTAAACTAGTTTACAGCATCATTTTTGGTTCCGGACTCCTAATAAGAGAATCAATATGAAACTGCTAAAAAGCATACAGCATTGAATACAATAAAACTTTAAGCATTTTAGAGAATAACTTCAAATCACATTTTTGTCTTTCCATTTACTTGTGAATGTGGCAGAAAAATCAGATTCAGATACCCTACAAAAATGGAAGGAAACTTGCATTTAAAAAACTGAAGGTGCTCTTGGAAACAACAGTGAGAACCTAAGTGAGTAAGCATAAGAAAGCTTCGTAGTAACATGCCTAATGTAGTGTAGGACGTGTTTCTGGTTTGTTTTAAGCAATATAAAGCACATTATCACAGGTCCTGGCAATTACAATCAGTAAAGAAGACACTGAGATCCAATGACTTAGCACATGACAATTGACAAGGCATTCTTCTACAAACCATATATTAATTAGAACTAGAGTACTTACCAAGGAATTAGCTGACCATTTTTTTTTTTTTTTTTTTTTTTTTTTTTTTTTTTTTTTTTTTTTGTGTGTGTGGGAATAGAGGTCTTATGCAGTTCTCTATGCAACCACAAATATGCCTCAACTCAAACTAGTCAAGGTCAACAATGATCCTCTATATCCATTCTGCTTTACCTGGGCTTATCTCATCCAATATTTAGTAATTTATGGAGTTACTAAAACTAGAAGCTCCTCCTCACTCTACCATACAAATCTCTAAAAAGATTATGGGCAAAAATTGAACCTAATGTAAGCATACCAACAACGACTAAGCCTTAACCCAAACAAGTTGGTATCATCTATGGATCCATTGCTTCCACTGTGTTATGTTCTTAACTAATTTCACTTGGATTGTAGGTTTTTCGAGACAACTTCTTTTCATGTGATTTTAAATCTACCTTGTTCTCTTTTAACACCTTCAATCATTATAGGTCACACTGACGGGCCAACACATTTGGAGGTCTATGTAGGACAAACCATATCTCACCTCTCGGCTCTCAGTGTATCATAGATTTGGTGCTCTATGGAAGGGTGAAAACTAGGAAGTCAAAAGAGCAAAGGTACAACCTTTTCTCTCATTTGCTTAAATAGAAGCAAAGAGACTTCAAGAGTTAGGAGCATTTACTGCAGCAACTGTGTGCTATCAGTTGTTTCAAACTTGGTAGAAATCTAAGGAAGGACAGACTTTTGCATCAATAAGGAAGGAGAAAGACACAGAACATTAGGAAGATTAAAACAGTGAATCTGCATCACAATGACTACATTTGACTATAGTGGAATATTAAAAAATCATCAAAAATATAAATTATGCAGCCACAAGTGTTAAATAAACTGTGTTAGAAGAATGTATATTTTTGTTTATGCCTTGCTATAACTTCTTCACTGCAACAATGACTCATGCTATATTGTAGAGTAGACATATGGTCTTATAATAAACCAATTAAAAAAATCAGCTGAACTATGGCTCCTAACTTGACAAGTATCAGTAATCGATCCAAGAATTGAAAAGGGTATTATTACATAGAAAAAGAGCACACCTTTAAGGTGACATGGCGGTTACTTCTAGCAGGGTCGGCTAGAAAAGTGACAGTATCGCCCTCCATACCAACAATGCGTTTAGTAACAGTCTTTCTAGGGTTATCAGGTGAGCGAACGAGGACTACATCACCTGGTCCCAACTTATCCAACAACGGCGATAAGTGTTCGGCCAGCAAAACATCGCCGGTAAGATTCAGTGTCGGTAGCATACTAGGACCGTAAACCTAAACCAAAAGAACATTCAACAATTATAATCTGAAAAGCTTAATTGTTGCCCAAAAATAATGCAGATTAATCGGAGACATACATACATACATACCATGACAGGGGAGCAAATATAGTTGTTGGTGACATGTAATAAGCAGAGGAATTTGGCGACAAGAAGTGATTGTGAAATTCCGTCTTTGGCTTTGGACTTCCATTGACTCAAGTACTGTAACACTCTCATTATCCTCTTCGACCCTCACGGCTGGAACCGCACAAATCAATTTCATGAATTACAAAAAATTAGGATTTGGGCATTGTACCGCACTCCTGTAAGGTTTGTGCTATAATTTCTTTTCTTTATGATACGGGTGTAACTATTTTAACGTAAAACAATGGCAGATTGAATTAGGGTGTATATTTACTCGATTGCATAAACGAATACATATATAGCTGATTAATATTATATTATATCTTTATGCATCACTATAAAAAAAATTATAATTAATAAAATAATATTATATAGATAAAAAAAAAAAATTAGATTACATCCCTCCAAATAAAATAGCGAACATTCAGAAAAAGATAAAGGAAGCAAATATACAATATAAATAAATAATAAAATTGAAATTGTATAAGAAAAGTAAATATTTAAAATGAAGAAAATAAGAGAAATTAACAAAAAGAACATAAAGAAAAGAAAGGCTAAAAGAGAACATCGAGAGCATTCCGGGTGTGGTGCATGAATTTCAACACTTCAACCATGACATCTTCAGTCATTTTGTGACTTAGGGTGTCACTTGTTCCTTACGTGGCATTTTTGTGGAAACCATTATAGACATGAACAAAAAATATGAGAGAGTAATTAATTATTAATATTAGTTTGTATAATTTATCTCATATTATAATATTTGAAAATTACACCTCAATAATTTCAACAAGTAACTATAAAAATATAAGAGAGAAAGGTGTTGGGCTGTTGACATTAATAACTTTGCAAATACAAATATCAAAACTTAAAAATTTGATTGATTTTTTAGGCTTGAAAAATATAATTCTAAATAAAATTATAACTATAGTCAAATATTTAAAACTTGTAATGAATTAATATTACTAATTTCAATCAACAAAAAATAAATCATTTCTTTTAATAAGAATAAATATTAAAATTTTGAATTAACAAATTAAAAAATAAATCACATTCAATTTCTTTCCAAATTCATCATAAGTAAACCCTTTTTCAGTTGACAAAACTTTTAGATACAAAAATTAGTTTTTTTATAGGAATAGCATTTGTGGTGGAAAAAATAAAAAAATAATGCAAAATCGATTATAATACAGTAATAAGCATCAACCGCAAAATCCTATAAAACTCTTGAATATATTCATACATATAATCTCATACATAGAAAGTTAAAAACAAAATGAGTAGATTAATTAGAATGTAGCGGTTGAATTTATATTTGTGATTAATCTATTGGAAATAATTTATATGGTATTTCTTATATACTAAAGAAATAGAACAAATTGCATTTTGCTCGTGAGCAAAAAGAAGGCGTCTTCTGTCAATTGAATGAGATGATTAAGAACTTATATGGGATAGAGTTTCTTTCTTTTTTTTGAGTTAGCTAAATAGTATCAACAATTATCATATTTAGAAACTTATAATTTTTAACTTTAACTTTAATTTTATAACTCAACCATAATAATATAGTATTTATGTAATTCTTTGAAATATTATATTTATTATATATGGTAACACGCGCAACGCGCGTACTTTAAGACTAGTATAATGATATGATTTTAAATTATGTGTTAAGTCAAACATTGTTACTAGTTTGTACGGCCTTGTTTGCAATTCTGATTTTACGACGAATATATTCTCAATAAAACAACCCTTGTCGTCTCAATAAAAAGAGACGAGAACAGCATAATGTAGGTCCTTTGTGATTTTAAAGTTGCAAGTTGCAACATATAACATACAATCTGAAAAAAGAGTTGTTCTAAAGTTTAGCCTCGAGTATCTTTCTCCTGGAGCCTCTTCAACATTTTCCTAACAAATTATCTCACTTTCAGATATGCAGATTATAGACTAAGATGGTTAAAGCACAGAAGAGTTGGCTTCTGTTATAGATAAGCATGTGACACCTCTTCTATATGTCATTTGAGTTCAACAATCCTTAGTTTATGAATATATATCACCCAAGAAAACCAAGAGTAAATTGTACATGACATTATTTGTAACGTGGAATTTCTTTAGTATACAACAACAATTGGATTTGACAGTTTATTAGACAAATTCTAAAGAATGCTAGGACGCAGTATTGCTATATTAGGAGCTTAAGTCCTCAATTACAACCTGTATATCAGTATATAAGCACAGAGAAGCACTTTAATCTTGGTGGCTGTCCTATTGAAATTATAGTGACAGAGTCTTCAATTCAATGCCTCTCCGATATGGTTAGATATAAGGGCTTCTATAGAATGATATAGCCAAGGTGTATAATGTGCTTTCGTCTATTCAATTCTCTCCAGATTATACTTCACAATTTCCTCAAGTGCTGCTCGGAAAGGACTAGAAGGAAGGCATTTTAGGCTCTGCAGTGCTAAATCAGCTTTCTCCTTTGCCAAATCTTGTGCTCGCTGAATTCCCCCGGTGGTCTTGACTAGATTAATGGCCTCCTCAAGAGAATCAGCATCACGAAATTCTGATTCAATTATATTCCTAAGTTTTGGCTCTTTCTCTAATGCAAAAAGTACTGGTGCAGTAAGGTTTCCCTTGGCTAAGTCACTTCCAGCTGGCTTCCCCAATTGCACTGCTGATTGAGTAAAGTCCAATATGTCATCAACAACCTGGAACGATAAACCAAGATTCTTCCCATACTGAAACATCTGTTCGCTAATATCACGGTCAACACCACTGAAAATGGCAGCTCCTTTGGTGCTTGCAGCAATCAGGGAGGCTGTTTTATAGTAACTCTTGAGCAAATATTCTTCCAGCTCAACATCACAGTCAAACAGATTAGAAGCCTGCTTTATTTCACCACTTGCAAAGTCTTTAATAACCTGCCACAAAAACCAATAACCACAAATGGTTTGAGGTGCAACGAACTAATATTGATATCAACGTTGCCAATTCTCCAAGATGTACAAACCAAGAAGACCCTAAGATACCTGACTAATGAGCTTTATGACTTCAAGGTTTTCAAGGTTAGCTAGGTACCATGACGACTGTGCAAACATAAAATCACCAGCCAGTACCGCCACTCTAGTACCATATAATTGGTGAACTGTGTCCTTTCCTGGATTGGAATTTTTTTTAAGAGGTCAATTCAAGGAAGCTAAGGAGAAGGTACAATAGAAATTGCAATTAAGAGGAGCAAGTTAGAAGAAGCACAAGGGTAAATGATAGGATTGATGACCACCTGAATGACACACAGAGATTCATATTTAGAGCGCTATTATGGAATTAATCATCAATTGATCTAAGCTCAAGTACAAAGGAAGCATCAAACACGACGAAAATTGGTGGTAGAAAGTAGAAACAACAATCTAGTATTATCTGCCTCTACAACCTTGGGAAAGTGAAGACCTAATCCAGTCTTCTTGTTCTTTTCTTAATCTTGATAATGCGCATACCTACTGCAGTCTTGTCATTTTTCACTCTTTTTGTGTGTCTGTGTGTGTCAGGTATACTATTTTCAAAAAACAGTTGTACGGAGTCCAAATATATTTTTTAATAAAGCATACAGATCTGACAAATTCTGCAAAGTTCTCAGAAACCCAAAAATGAAATGTATGAAGAATAATTAAACATTGAAGACCTCATCACATGAGCTCTGGCTAATCAAGCATATTTCTAATGAAAAGCATACTGGTTGTCTTTTACGAAAGTAAGTCAAACACATCATGTTTGATAGGAAGACCTCATACAGATCAATCAGGACAGCATCAATAATAATTACTAAAACACTCAGAGAAACAAGCAGCTAGTCCAAGGAAGTGCACAAGAGATAGCTTAGAAACGATAAGCCCAAATCTCATAGGGATGCAACCATGTCGTACTGTCAAACAAACGTTTTCTGAGAGGTTTCTAACCAATAAAAAGGTGCTGCATCAGCGGATATCTGGTTATTCTGTTAATGTCATCTGTCCAGATTGGCCGGTGCCCACAGTAGACTCTAGGACATATTATTTCTTTAGATATACCTTACTGAAATTCTTCATCAACTGAAATTGCCAAAAGTGAGACTCTTTAAAGGATTGAATATTGTTTTGATAAACTGAGAGCATGCATCACGGCATCATCACAGAATCAGAAAGATGACAATATGTTCTTAGACGTTTTCTTCTACAGATACTTTCCTCATAAATTATTATTAAAACTTCATTTTTAAGAACAATAGCATCCACGTTGATGCCTGGAAAGCAATAACCACTGAGAATATACAATAACCTTTTCAGCCACCTTAATAAAGTATTAAACTATAAGCAAGAGTGATAATCATTATTGAGTTTTTAAATAATTGAAGACAGTGCATTTGCTGACACAGCAGAGGAGAATGACAAGTTGCTTAAAATGTCTTACCTCTTCGTATGTCACTTTCATCTAACACATCATCATGTATCAAGCTTGCAGTATGGATCATTTCAATGATTTCAGCTAACCTTCTGTGTTCTATGGTCAGTTCCCTGGCAGCAAATTATTTTAATAAATATTAGCTAAGCTGATATGTTGCTGTGAGTAGTAAAAGAAAGAAAACCAAATAGTGCTTCTCACTTCAAACCAGAAATTGCTGCTGTGGCCCTTGACACTAGGAACACCAAAGCAGGTCTCACCCTTTTGCCACCAGCACCAAAAATCTGCTCCGCTGCAGACATCAAAACTGGATTCTCTGAACCAACAATCTGAAAAATGATTTTCTTAGATACAGAATAGAAAGAAGATAGATTAAAAGTAAATTTGCTGATATATACCATCTGAACAGTCATGTTGTGTTGATCAAATTAAACAACATAGTTTCAAAAACCCAAATATAGCAAGTGACGATCACTGATATGAAATTTCTTCAGTTATTTGACAGTTGACATCACACTATGTCACCCTTAGACATGTGTGCTTATTTATCATGATATACATTTGAGATACTCTCAAACCCAGCTACATTTATTTCTTATATCAAGTCTTTGAATCATAAATATTAGTAATTAAAACTGTCAAAAAGTAGGACTGGCTTCTTAAAATGAACTTCAGAAGCTCAAGCTATCATTTTGGAGTGATAGCATAATCTATGTTTAATCTTCGAAGGCCAATAACCTGAACATGGTCAAATAAACATATTTAGTGATTCCAGTTCTTCAGCGTCACTACCATGACCATGTACTGGTCCAAAATTGCATCTCTCCTACATCTAGAGCAGTTCATTTGGGATGATCAAATACCAAATAAATTTGTCTAAAAGAATAGGCGTGACTATTTGAAATGATATCCAGAAGCTCAAGATTAAGATATCATTTGGCAGTGTGATACTGTGACTCTTCCTATGGTTAATTCTTCTTAGGCGATAACCCAAATTTGGTCAAATAAACATATTTATTGATTTCTATTACTACTTGATGTTCCTTATGCTTCGGTTTTCTTATTATCTTGTTGTTGTTACTGCTTCTCTTTACATCTCTTCTTCGCTGTTGTATTCCTTTTATTCTGCTATGTTTTGCTTTCCTTGAGCCGAGGGTATATCGGAAACAACCTCTCTACCCGCACAAGGTAGGATAAAGCCTGCATACGAACTACTCTTTTCAGACCCCTCTTATGAGATTACACTGGGTATGTTATTATTATAAACATACTAATTGATTCCAGTTCGTTATCCTTACTACCATGACCATCTATTAAGCCTCACTACATGAACATGTAATAGTCTATAACTGCACCTCTCTCCTAAATCAGATCAGTTCATTTGGGAACAAAACTACGCTCGACTGAGAGTCAATGAAGTTATTATGACAAGTACAACTATTAGTTATTTGGCAATGCCAGCAGAACATAAGCTCAAATGAACTGACCGTGCCTCCAAAAAAAGAATTTAATGACCCAAAGTATTCCCAGATAATCATAACATGGAGCTACCTTGGCAGCTATTCTTCGAGAAATAACCAAAGAAAAAGATTTCATTGCATACATTCCATTACACTATTTAGCTGACAAAAATCAAATAAGCAAAGGTTTTGAACCAGGAAAGATTGATTAAAGAATATTCAAAGAGCACTCACATTCTGTAAGTTTTTGTTTAGTGTAAGGAGGTCATCAGCAACCACTTCAAACACATTAGTAAGTGAAATAGGTTTTGCTGACTTATTCAAATCCAACACTGGCGCCACCCCTGCAATAGAACCACAAATCAATATTGAAATTATTCCAAGATTGCGATCTTACAAAACTATAGGCCTAAAAATATAAGAACTAACATATAATGATTCAAGTAAGTACCACTAAGTGAAGCCTTAGTTGAAAACGAACGACAGCGACCAATTTCTTGTCTACAGAAGAACAATTTCCGAGCATTGAATCCTCCTCTACTTACATTCCTTAACACCTTGTTATTAGAAGAACACCCACAAGCCAAAAATTCCAATGGAGTTCTCCCAATCTCAAGATTATGGCAAGTCACAGACATCATCCTTTTAAATACCCAAGTAGCTAAATCACCAAGATTTTGCCTTTGAATCAAGTACTGAGCACCAAGTTGCTTATTTTGAATATAACAATTGCAACCAACAACAGAAAACTGAATTTATAGCAACAATTTGTACTCTTGGTTGAGCTTTATATCCAGAGAAGTTTTGAAAGTACTCCAGAAGAAGACAGTTTATAAGAAATTAAATTATGTGTCTTGAAATAATTGAGTGGATAACAAAGAACCACATAAAAATGGAGTCTTTGATTAGGTTAGTGACTGAAAATGGAAGAAAGGGACAGTAGCGCTCTGTTTCTAACTCTGAAAATTCTCAAACAATTACAACCAATACAGAAAGAAGGGAATGAGCTTCGAGCCAAAAAAAAGGAGTGGACCTTATCCCCACTTTGAAAAATCCAATATGATGTATAATTCTTCTTCTGAAATTTTTGAGGTTGTACAGTTGCCAAGTGATGCCCCCCATATCTCCCAGAAAAATGGTAAAACAAAAATATGGTAATAATTAAATAAATAAATAATGTTTATTTATTTTGAACTTTCAGAAGGGGCAGAGAAACCATCTCATGACATGAATCAATTACAATCTGGACCCTAAAAAAAAAGAATCAATTATAATATTTTCCCTATTTTGCTCAGAAAAAAAAATCAGGTATGAAAATTTGACACAATTCAACCGAGCAAATAATATAATATTTATTTTAGTCGGTCACCAGATTCAACATGTGGGCATAACGAAGTCACTTAATTATACATATACCACCCAAAAGATCACTAAACTAGATTTCTCAAACTTTTGATCGTCAAATACTTATTTTACCCTCTAAATTATCAAATTTTATCTTCTTTTTTGTTTAGCTGTTTCATATTATAATTTTTTTCTCTTTTTAATTTATATTATAGACTTACCGTAGAATAAATAAATTTTATTTATAAATTAAAAAAATAAAAATATTATTTGAACATATATAATGCTGGAATAATAAAATATTGAGCATAGTAGAAAGTTAATTGGAACAATTTATTCTTAATAAAAATTTTAATATTAACAACAAAAAAATAATATTTTATTTACACAATATAATTGAGAATGAAAGAAAATAAAAAAAATTATAATATATATTCCATGCACGTACTATAAAAATAATTATTTAAAATAAAGGTATTTTATAATGTACATTATATATTCTTGAATATTATGCTTAATTATATTATTATTCCGATATTATATATGCTAGAAATTTTTTTTATTTTATTTTTAAGTAAAATTTATTTGTTCTATAGGTAAGTCCATAATGTTGATTAAAAAGAGAAAAAATCATAATATTAAAAAAGTGAAAGAAAAAGAAAAGAAAAAAGAAGAAGATAAAAGTTGATAATTTAGAGGGTAATATAGGTATTTGACAATCAAATATTTGAGAAATGTGGTTGAGTGACCTTCCGAGTGTTACAGGCATGGTTAAGTTATTACAAATGAAAGAAAGATGACTTTACAAGATAATTTCGAATAGTTGAATGACCATTTAAGTAATTGACTCGTTTAATGAAAAATGCAATAAACTATATGAAATTAACGTTCAAATCTTAGTAAAGGTAGAAAACTAGTATTGTTGGTAAAATTATTTTTATTTGTCTAGACTATACATATCATTGTTTATAAGTGCATGTGTTGATGGAGGTAACATATATTTAATTGAATAAGTTGGGTACGAACAAATTGGCACCACTATCATATCAAAATTTGAAAAATAAAAATTGTGAATCTTTCACATGGTTATTTTTTCAAGGGAGAATGTCCAAATATACCCCTGTATTTTTGAAAATGGTATAAGAATACCCCTCGTTATACTATTGGGTTGTCTATACCTCTGCAGTCATACTTTGGGTTCAAATATACCCATCATTTAAACGAAGGGACACGTGTCATTGTCTTATTAGCCAATTCTAAATATCTCCTAATTAACTAAAAATACCAATTATCCATACCCAAAAAATAATTTTATAAAGCAATTTTTTTTTTGTAAAAACTGGAAAAAACTGATTTTTTTTAACTAAAAACTGAAAAAAACTAAAATATTTTTTTAATCATTTTTTACAAAAAAAATCTGCTTCAAAAAAAACTGAAAAATATTTTTTAAAATAATATTTTTGTAAAAACTGGATAACAAAACTGAAAAATAATTTTCTAAAGCAATTAAAAACTGAAAAAAGCTGATTTTTTTTAACTAAAAACTGAAAAAAACTAAAATATTTTTTTAATCATTTTTTACAAAAAAAATCTGCTTCAAAAAAAACTGAAAAATATTTTTTAAAATAATATTTTTGTAAAAACTGGATAACAAAACTGAAAAATAATTTTCTAAAGCAATTAAAAACTGAAAAAAGCTGATTTTTTTTAACTAAAAACTGAAAAAAAGAAAATATTTGTTTTTTCGGTTTTTACAAAAATATTTCTTTAGAAAATTACTTTTCAGTTTTATTTTTTAGTTTTTACAAAAAATATTGCTTTAGAAATTATTTTTCAATTTCTTTTAAATAAATGTTTTTCTAAAAACTAGAAAAAAAATATTTTCGATTTTTTCAGTTTTTAGTAAAAATAAAATAAGTTTTTTTCAGTTTTTACAAAAAAAAAATTGCTTTATAAAATTATTTTTCGGGTATGGATATTGAGTATTTTTAATTAATTAGGAGATATTTAGAATTGGCCAATAAGACGATGACACGTGTCCCTTCGTTTAAATGAGGGGTATATTTGAACCCAAAGTATGACAGTAGGGGTATAGATAGCCCAATAGTATAACGAGGGGTATTCTTAGATCATTTTTGAAATTACGGGATATATTTGGACCTTCTCCGTTTTTTCAATGATTTGGTGAGACCGTAATCATATAAAGTTATTTTGTCATGAGTTTTCTTTTCCTAAACAATGATCTTATGGAGAAATGAACGGACAAAGTAGCTAGTTATCCTAGCTGATAGTCCATTTATTCTTTCTTACTTACTTTAATTATTATAAAGCTCTTAATCTTACAATATAATGACCTCATCATGTATACGATAGGCGGTCTAGAAAAACTTAAGCTTGTAAAATCAAACGGAGCCAACACAATAAAAAAAATTTTAAAAAAAAGATAAAAACTAAAATAAATAGATAAAACCAATTCAACTCCACGTGTAAAATTCTCAAGCTTGGGTTAAACATGCGCAATGCTATTAGAGAATATAAAAGTTTCATGTCGATTATGTAAAGAATATTGTCAAAGGTAATTTATAAACTAAAGTATTCCTTGCCTTAAAATTTGACTTTGATGCTCCATTTTCCTCATTTTATATGTCCTGATATTTTTATGGAACTCTTTTATTCAATATTTGTATAAAAAATCAACTCAACCCTTTTAATTTACTTACTTTTTTTCTGCATGGTGATCTTGAGCCAAAATTGTCTCCAGGAGTTTCTTGCATGAAGCTCAAAACGCCTCTTTTCTGGTAAAATTTTAGTAAAGCATATAATCAAATCATTTGCCAAATTGCCTCTGAGAGATTAGTAATGTGAGAAATATCGAAATCCAAGAGCAAAAGATACATCTAATAATTGATAGATTAAATTACCCCCTTTTATTGATAGATTTTAGGAATTTTCCTTTTCATTCAACGAATGATGTAAGTTGTACAGAGTATCTTTATACAAGTGTATTGGGCAAGAAATAAAATCTATTCTATAACTACCTACAGTTGTCTCTCTCTGATTGTTCCTATTCTAACAAACTGTCACATAAATACAAAAATAAAAGAACTTAAAAAATGCTAGATTTATCCGCATGCAATTGGCATAGAAGTTTCTGGAAGAGCTATATTGAATGGTCCGCATATTTGTTCTTTACTTGATGGCCCAACAAACTTAAAATGTTGGGCCTTTGAATCCGATAGGAATTTTTACCTCCTATAGCAAAGGTTAACACCTTATTTATTTTAAATAAATATTATTTTAAAAAATTATATTCTATAGCTACCTTTTAATGTTTATAGCAAAATATCTATTTATGGTTACCTCCTACCCTTAAGTCATTATATGCGCTATTTATTATTTTTCTCTCCTTTTTCGGATTTTTCTCTCACATAATTACCGTATTTGATGTAAACTTCTCTCTCTCTAATTTCATACACGCCATTCTCTTCTCCCATTCCCAGAAACCACAATTTTACAACTGAAAATCTCTCTCACTCACATCGCCTAGCTCTTCCTCATTCTCAGTCACCACGCTAATTTCATACACGTCATCTGCATTGTCTCTCTCAACTTTCGTTATTTTTTGCTACAAATAGTTGTGGTAAGTATTTAACTTGTTAGAATTTCGCTTGTATTTTGTTTATTCTATTTATCTCTACTAATTTTTTATAAACAATAACCATTATTATTGTATTCAACAGAAAACTTTAGATTTTCTCTCCAATTGCTGATTCAACATCCAGAAGAGGGTTGCCAGAGGTATACCAACCAAAGTACTCAATTTCGATGGGCCCTCTTTCTCTTTTCAAATCACTCAAGCGGAATTAGAATTTGCAGGTTCAACAGCAAATACAGTTGCAGAGAGGAGAACAAAAATACGCAATGACACATTGAAAAAAGCCCAAGTTGAGAAATCTTCGAAAGAATCAACACTTTCCGTTGTGAAAAAAAGAAAAAAACCTATGGATGATGCTTCAGGTGTCAAGGGAAAGGAGGTCGATGCAAGAAATAGCTCGGATACACGGAACGAAAAGGTAATTGTTGATGTATCAATATGTATTTGAGTCCTCATACATTGAGTATTACCTTCTCCAATGGGTTTCTATTATTGTATGTTATTGTATTTATATGTGTGCAATAGTAGATACATAGCTTCCTCTTCTTATTTGTTGATTTGATTTATATGTACGTTGATGTATTCATAAGTATTCAAAATTGTCTTCACTATATTTATACTTATTACACTGACTTTTGCATATCGTATTTAGATGTATTCATAAGTATTCAAAAATTCCATCACTTATTTTTACTTATTACAATGACTTTTGCATGTGTGTATGTAGATGCATTTATATGTATACAAAATTTGGCTTCACCGATTTGTGCTTATTTATTCTAGTGTCTTTTGCATATTGTATTTAGATGTGTATAGATGTATTCAAAAGTTTATTCACTGTATTTGTACTTAGTGACCTTTGCATATTGTATGTAGATGTATTCATAAGTATTTTAAAGGTGCCTTCGTTATTTTGTACTCATTACAATGACTTTTGATTGTTGTATGTGAACGTATTTATATGTATACAACTATTTTCATCACTAATTTCTTACTCCA